AAGGAGGGAGGGAAGGAGGGAGGGAGGGAGGGAAGGAAGGAGAGAGGAAGGGAGGAAGAAAGAGTGGAAGGGAAAGAGGGAGGGAGGGAGGGAGGGAGGAAGGAAGGAAGGGAGGGACAAATACTATTAGAAAGAGTTATTGCTCTACCTACTAAACATTTACTCACATGCGCTAGGATTTAACAAATAGGATCTTTTACTAGACACATTTGAAACTCTACCTGATATATCAAATCTTTCACTTACATTAGATTTCAACTACCTAATAAAAACCAGGTTATTTACTAGCTGGTCCATCATAGCCAATTCATATATCGAAGGTGAAAGTATGGAAAAGTGCCCTTAAGAAGAGCCCATGAATGTTTAAAAAACCACCGTTGTTGAATCAGCAATCAAAAAAGTTAATAATTACAGGATACTTGTGATTGGATGGGAGTTCACCAACCACTATAAGATGAGCCCTAGGGATGCTACAGAGTAGTGAGGAGGGATAAAAGGAATATTATTCCAGGAGGCCCAGGCAGACAGATCACTTGAGCCCAGGAGTTCAAGACCAGCCTGGATAACATGGCAAAATCCCATCTCTATTAAAAAAAAAAAAAAAATTAGCTGGGTGTGTTGGCACACACCTGTAGTCCCAGCTACTGGGGAGGCTGAGGTGTGGGATTTGTCTGAGCCTGGGAGGTCGAGGCTACAGTGAGCCATGATTGCATTACTGCATTCCAGCTAGGCAACAGAGTGAGACCCTGTCTCAAAAAAAAAAAAAGGAATATATTTCCAAAAGGAAGAGGACTAGAAAGGGAGCAAGATACGAAATTCAGGAAAGCAGTTCAAGTCTCAGATAACCAAAATATCCAGTTGAGTACATGTTGTTTCCCGACTAGGCCACATAACCAAATTGTTATTTTACTTGGAAGCCCATCTGTATAACAACCTATATAATTACAGAGTTTTATACATTATGGTTTATATACTATATGCAAATATATCTCTATATATATATCACATATAACTAGACATGCAGTACATAAGCAGTCTATATGTTTCAAACTTTTTGGTTCTTTACTCACCTATAAACTTTGAGAAATATGGGAAAAAGAAGTTGGTCATCAAAAGGAATAATTCCTCATTACCTATATCCATTATGCTGGACTGGTCACTCATGGTGCCTGCCACACAGTCCACTTCTGAGAGCAACTGCCATGCTCAGGAGAGCAGCCCTGCATGGGACAATAACTGGAGCGCCAATCTTTACGCTGGTTAATGACCTCTAAGAAACCCAATGTGAAAGCTCTACCCAAACAGGGATGAAGTCATTGGTTGGCCTATGAGATCCTTACTCAGGAATTTAAACTACAGACACAGAGAGAGAATTAAAAAGTTGGGCCCAGGTGTGGTGGCTCATACCTGTAATCTCTACACTTTGGGAGGGTGAGGTGGATGGATCACAAGGTCAGGAGTTCAAGACCAGACTGGCCAACATAGTGAAACCCCGTCTCTACTAAAAACACAAAAAATTAGCTGAGTGTGGTGGTATGCACCTGTAATCCCAGCTACTCGGGGAGGCTGAGGCAGGAGAATCGCATGAACCCAGGAGGCAGAGGTTGCAGTAAGCTGAGATCATGCCATTGCACTCCAGCAAGACTCTGTCTCAAAAAAACAACAACAAAAAAAGGAAGTTGGTAGAGTGAACAGAAGTGGAAGCAGACATGAGAGGAAAGGAACAACAAAGTAAGTGGGTGCTATGATCTCAATGTTTGGATCACCCCAAAATTCAAATGTTGAAGTCCTAGCCCCCAAAGTGAGGCTCTTAGGAGGTAGGATCTTTGGAAGGTGATGAGGTCATGAGAACAGAGCCCTCCTCGGTGGGATTAGTGCCCGTACAAAAGAGGCCTCAGGGAGCTCATTTGTTCCTTCAGCCATGTGAGGACACAGTAAAAAGACAGCTGCCCATGAATAGTTAAGCAGGCACTCACCAGACACTGAATTTGCCAGCACTTTGATCTTGGCCTTCCCAGCACCCAGAACTACAAGAAATAATTTTCTGTTGTTTATAAGCTACCCAGTTTATGGTATTTTATTATAGCAGCCCAAGTGGACCAAGACAATGAATGACATGAACGGCAGAGCACTGTAAGGCCTAGCTGTGTAATGGAGATGTCTTTCATTGCTATGTTCTTGTATAATCTTATTCTAAATCTCCATTTCTTTCTGCAATCTAAATGAATCTCTATTTCTTTCAACTAATAGTGTTAACACAATGGGAAGACATTTTCTTTACATAAAAATAAAACTAATTATACTCTCAGGAGCTTTTTTAAAAAGTAAAATTATTTTCATTCCTTTTTGTTTGTTTGTTTTTCATTTGTATTGTAGAGACAGGGTCTCCCTATATTGCCCAGGCTGATCTCAAACTTCTGGCCTCAAGCTCTCCTTTCACCTTGGCCTCCCAAAGTGCTAGGATTATAGGTTTGGTCACCACGCCTGGCCCTCATTCTTTTTTTTTTAAGACAGAGTCTCACTCTGTCACCCAGGCTAGAATGTAGTAGCATTATCTTGGCCCACTGTAACCTCCACCTCCTGGGTTCAAGCGATTCTTCTGCCTCAGCCTCCTGAGCAGCTGGGATTACAAATGGCTGCCACCACGCCTGGCTAATTTTTGTATTTTTGCCCAGGCTGGGACTATAATTTGGCTCAGGCGTGCCTGTAGTCCCAGCTACTCAGGAGACTGAGGCCAAGGTGGGCAGATTACCTGAGGTCATTCGAAATCAGCCTGGCCAACAAGACAAAACTCCATCTCTACTAAAAATCCAAAAATTAGCTGGGTATAGTGGTGGGTGCCTGTAATCCCAGCTACTCAGGAGGCTGAAGCAGGAGAACTCCTTGAACTCAGGAGGTGGAGGTTGCAGTGAGCCAAGATTGCACCACTGCTCTCCAGCCTGGGCAACAGAGCAAGAATCTATCAATCAATCAGTCAGTCAATCAATACAAATAGGCATACTAGTCACATCCATGCAGGAATTAGGGTCACATCCACGCAGGAATTAGGTTTTCTTTTTTTTTTAAAAAAAAAAAAAAAAAAAAAAAAAAAAGGCAAAACAGCCCTGAAACCAAAGTGAAACTGAAGAGAGTGATAAAGGTAGAAAGCTGTTAGCTGGGTAGAGTGCCGTGGTGTTCCCTTCAGCTATCTCATTACAAATACGAGGGGTTCCCAAGAGAAGCATCCAAAGAGATGAGGACAGAATATAAACTGAGATAGACATTGCTCTCCCCAGCTGGATGCTTGCCTAGGTAAGAAAATGCATAAGCAGCTGCCAGAGCAGCGTGTGAAGAGTTCATAGGAGAACTTGACATATATCCCCAGGAGAAAGGGGATATTCATGACAAAGACAGAAACTAGTACCTGCTTCTTACTTGCAGAAGTCTGAGGACAGGAGGCTGACTGAAGCTGCCCATGGAGAAATGGGTGGAAAAAGGAGATGTTATGCTTCCTGTGGCTTTTACAGGCACCATAAAAGATGACCTAACAAGAAATGTCCCAGGCTGGGCGTGGTGGCTCACACCTGTAATCCCAGCACTTTGGGAGGCCGAGACGGGTAGATCACTTGAGGTCAGGAGTTCAAGACCGGCCTGAGCAACATGGTAAAACTCCATCTCTACTAAAAATACAAAAATTAGCCAAGTATGGTGGTGCACGCTTATAACCCAGTTACTTGGAAGACTGAGATGGGAGAATTGCTTGAACCCAGGAGGTGAAGGTTGCCATGAGCCAAGACATCACGCCACTGCACTCCAGCCTAGTCGACAGAGCAAGATCCTGTCTCAAAAAAAAAAAAAAAAGAAATGTACTGAAAGGACCTCAGCCAAGAAGGCTAAGGGCAAGGGCAAGGTGGTGTCAGCAGAATGCGGGGTTGTGAGTTGCTTCCCCAGAGTTGTAAGAGGTTAGTCAAAGATTAGGGAAGTGTGGAGGTCTCCATGGGAGTCTTGAAGAACCCACCAGTAAGCCCCTCAACAAAGAGCTAGCATGTCAGCATCTACCATACAAAGCCCCCAATAACAAACTAGTCACTTAAGACTGCTGCTTCACTCTAATCTTTCATTCTTCTCCTTCTGACCCTGGAGAAGTCAGGCAAACAGAGAAAGAAGGAGGAAGAAAAGGGAAAGAACACATCACTCTTCCTTTTCCACTGCTGATCCCTGGATGAGGCCTGAGCTAGAGGAAAGGGAAAGCTTTGATTTCCATAGAAGTTTTTATTTAGACTGGACTGCATTTTTTAAATACCTAAATATGAAGCTATCGAAATCCCTGAAGGCAAAAGATAGCTATGGAACATCAAAAGGCCAGGAAAGGGGATCCGACAGAATTTGTGTAAAGGAACTGGTGGAAATTTTTCAGTGTTTCATGGCTGTGCCTTACTGTATTGCATCCATTTTAGAAAATGCTTATACTTTTAACTATTTAATCTTTCATATCATATAAGCCTCACCTTTGAAAAAAGGCCTTCTGTTTCTATATTGTATCCTTTAAGGTCCTCATGTAATTTCTGCAAAGACTGTATGACTCTTCTTTGATGTTCATCATCCTTTAGCTCATGAGCTCTGATCAGAAAATCATAGTGGTCCAGAGGTCCATGACAAACAGCCAAAGCTTTCAAATAAGTCTCTGAAGTGGCAGTTGGGGTCATGTTCTCAAATGTCTGAACTGTATAGGCTATAAACAAAAACATATAAAATTTTAGACTTTCTTAAATACATTTCACAGTGCTCTACATGTTTCTTAAGGGTTACATTCAAACTTTTAACTAGTTATTAGTGTATCTATTTGAGCAGTTTTGTAAATGTCATTTTGATAAAAATAACATAAAACACATCTTAAGCCAGGCACAGTGGCTCACGTCTGTAATCCCAACACTTTGGGAGACCGAGGCAGGGGCATTACTTGAGGTCAGGAATTCAAGGCCAGCCTGGCCAAATGGTGAAATCGCATCTCTACTAAAACTACAAAAAAAATTAGCCAGGCATGGTGGTGAATGTTTGTAATTCCAGCTAGTTGGGAGGCTGAGCCATGAGAATTGCTCGAACTCAGTAGGCAGTGGCTGAAGTGAGCAGAGATTGTGCCACTGTATTCCAGCCTGGGTGACAGAGAGAGACTCAGTCTCAAAAAAAAAATTTAAACAATGAATATATTTCTAATTGTTTTATTTTAACAAAAGGAAATAAACCCCAAATCCCTAAACTATAATTGTAACCTCTCTTCCAGAAAGCCTATTCCTACTACAGCTTCTACTTTGCTTCCAGTCCACTAAAGGAGCCACCTGGGTTCCTCATCTCCTTCCCAAAGCAAGGGAGCTGCCTTTCTTTGAGTTAGCCCTAATTCTAGTTCTTAAGCACCAAGGCAGAGACTTCAAGATTAGTCCCAAGGGTTTTCCACTGCTCCTTAATTCTCTACCCAAAGACAACACAACATTCAGATATTACAGTATCAATTTCAGCCCTCTGCTTCTAAGATCTTTTTCCCTTTTCCATAACCTTTAGGGGGTTGGACACAGAGCTGAGACACAGCAAGAGTGCCTGCTTCAAAGCAGGATGGTGTTCTGATTCTATTTTTAGCCTCTCCTGGGAGAGAAATGATTGTGGCGAGGTCCAACTGTAATTTCATTCCTTATCTGGGGCAGGTTTAATGAGCAGCTAACTCCTTCCCTACTGTTTAGAAGCCACAATAAACAGCAGCAACCTGGCATATTTTTCAGAACAAGATTTCCCAAAGGTACTCTGCCAGTGTTTTATTCATTTCATTGAACATCACGTTTCCTTTGTCACAATAACATAAAAATTACTTTAGCAAAAAGAATTAACAGTCACAATGTTAGTTCCATGTTTCCCCAAAAGAGGGGAAAAAGTCCTTAAATATACTACTAATGTTGGAGACAGGGATGGCTGTTTTCCATTATCTGTACTCCCTTTCTAAGTAGAAATTTTAGCTGAATGCATGGCTGCCCAGATATGTATTACATCTCCTGGTCTCTCTTGCAGTCAGGTATGGCCATGTGAGCAGGTTCTAACCAATGGATTGTGAGCAGAAATGTGTGTAGTTCAGATATACACCGTTAAACAAAAAGGGCATATCCTCCTGACTTCCTTTTCCTCCCTTCTCTCTAACTGGAGTAAAAGTGTAATGACTGCAGCTGGAGGAGGCAATGAGATGCACACAGAATGTTGAGTAAAGCAGAGCAACAAGATACACAAAGCCTGGTTCTCCAACAATGCTGAACTGCCAAACCAGCTCTGGATTGCCTACCTGGATTTTTATGTAAAAGAATAATAAACTTCTGGCCAGGCATAGTGGCTCACACCTGTAATCCTAGAACTTTGGGAGGCCAAGGTGGGCAGATCACTTGAGCTTCAGGAGTTCGAGACCAGCCTGGGCAACATAGTGGGGTCTCGTCCCTAGTAAAAATAACAAATTATTTTAAAAAAAAAATTTTTTAATTAGTCGGGCTTAAAATTAGCATATGCCTGTAGTCCCAGCTACTTGGGGAGGCTGAGGTGGAGGAACGACTTGAGCCTAGGAGTTTGAGGCTGCAGTGAGCTATGAGCACACCACTGCACTCCAGCCCGGGCAATAGAGCAAGACTCTCTCTCCAAAAGAAACAAAAAGGGAATAATAAACTTCTACCTTGCTTTTAAAGTAGTGTATAATTGGGGTCTCTGTTATAGAAGCCCAAGTTGTACCCTAACTGATATAGGTGCTTAAGGCCTCCAAAAGAGAATCTAAGGGTCTCCTGGAACACTGGGCCTCACAGCACCAGGATGAGGCTTGGGGTTCAATGTTAAAGCTGGAGATGCAAGTTGAGAGTTCCCTAAATGTTTCCAGCAATTTGAGATATTTGCCAGTGTGGCATAATAAGAAATACATTTAATCTTTGTCCCTGGTTCTTGGTACAGAGTTCCTAAAACCCTTGGAATTTCCTGAGCAATAGGAGTGTTTTCTGTTATTCATTGCATCACACCTGAGTTCATGTTAGTAGGTGACGCTAGGGTGGGGCTGGTAGCCAGAAGGACGAAGTGGGTAGAAGGTTGGAACTTTCTTCCCCACACACTGACCGCAGGAAGGTGGGGCTAGAGATTGAGCTCTGTAAACACTCAAGGAGACTTGGACAGCTTCTGGTTGGTGGACACATCTAGGTGCATTCACCTCCTAGGTATCCCCCTAGGCATCTCTTCCACTGGGCTTCCTGAGTTATATCCTTTATAATAAACCAGTAAACATAAGCAAAATTTTTCCCTGAGTTCTGTGAGCTATTCTAGCAAATTATTGGATCTAAAGGGAAAGAAGGTTATGGAAATTCCCAAATTTGCAGTCACCACGTAGATATGTGGGTAGCCTGGGCATCCCATTTGTAGCTGGCAGGTGAACTGGAGGCATTCTGTGGGACTAAGCCCTCTTACTTGTGAGATGTAATGCTCACTCCAAATAAAGAGTGTCAGAATTGAACTGTTGAAATACCCAGTTAGTGTTACAGGATTTGAGAATCTCACAACCAGAGAAAAACGTTCTTCTCTACCCTCTCTTTTAGATTTCTGGAGTCAACCAAGTGAAAAACCTCAGGGTGATTACTGATTTATTCCTCTCCCTCCCACAATCCTATTCACTCTTCAATCAGGTTCTCAGCCAATGAATCATCAATGCTACTCAATTTTGTATGTGAAATACTCTCTAATCCATTTCTCCTCTCCTTCCTCATCCTACCACCACAGCTTGTGCCCTTTAAAAGAAGCAGGGATCTCTCTTAAGGCCTGCCATGCCCCCCCACCCACCCACAATGTAGACATAAAGAAAAATCTGGAATTCCTTCAAGGGAAATTCCAGATACCTAGCTAGCCCTGAGAAGTAAATAAGCCACTTGATAAGCAAAAAGATAATAGTAGCTCAAAATAATGGCCAAGGAAGTTAGGGATGTTCCCTAAAGAAACTAAAGATAACAGCTTAATATATGTCATTGAGTTGTTTCTCAGAAATTCCAACCCCTACCAAATGGATCCGCTGGCACACAGACCTCGAATAAAAGGGAACTGAGGACTGAATTCTGACCACTGCTCTTGGTTCTGAATTTCTTCCTGTGGGGCCTAGAGGAGGTTATGCTCATGAGCCAGAGTTAACATTCTTTTCTGTTGAATCCAAATTTTTAGATAAAGCTTTCTTTCCGGCCGGGCGGGGTGGCTCACACCTGTAATCCCAGCACTTTGGGAGGCCAAGGCGGGTGGATCACGAGGTCAACAGATCGAGACCATCCTGGTCAACATGGTGAAACCCCGTCTCTACTAAAACTACAAAAAATGAGCTGGGCATGGTGGCGCGTGCCTGTAATCCCAGCTACTCAGGAGGCTGAGGCAGGAGAATTGCCTGAACCCAGGAGGCAGAGGTTGCGGTGAGCCGAGATCGCCCCATTGCACTCCAGCCTGGGTAACAAGAGCGAAACTCTGTCTCAAAAAAAAAAAAAAAAAA